TTGACACATAAAAATATGTTTTATATACAAAACGTTTTTTATTCATTCATTAACTGTCTTTATTCTTATTACCTAATAATCTTTCACAGGATTTATCACAGATGGAAACTCCAAGCTGGTGGGTAACGCTCGTCTTCGCCAGGTGAGGGTGCTTCCAAACTCCTGCCATGTGGCTCCCTCCATGCAGAAGTCTGTGCTGGACTGTCACGCTCTGTACTCCTGGGAGATGGAGGACATGGGCTCCTACGGTCCAGGATGGAGCCGCTCTGAGGGGGATAACACCTCGCTGAACCTTCAGAGCCCGTGGACCTACCAGTCCCAGAGAAAACTGAGGGCCTACCCCATCTGGGGCAATGTGATGCTCTACAGAGGAGGAGGGTTTGTGGTGGATCTGGGGCCAGATTTACAAAATTCCAGCAGGTATAATATGTGACATATGAAGAGCACACTGACAATTACTTTAATCCAATGACAGGCAGATGATAACTGAAACAATGAGTCTACAAATTAATTAGTTGATGACATTAAACTAATGTCAAAACGTTGAAAGTTCAAGCTCCTCAAGTCTTGGGAATTTCTGCTTTTTCGACATACAATAATTAGAAAAACTGCATTATTTATTACCTAACCTAAAATGAATTTCACATGTTTTCTTGTTGATAGTTATATACAACTCAGTTGTGCCATGCTTGCCCTTATCATATAATTTAATAATGTTGTTTCTGTAGATCCCTTCAGTACCTTTATGACAACACCTGGTTTGATGTGTACACTCAAGCGGTCTTTGTTGAGTTCACCGTGTACAATGCCAACGTCAACCTCTTCTGCATTGTCACTCTCATGCTGGAGACCACAGCTTTGGGTACGTAGTCCATGTCCAGCTTCTGTTTGTGAGCTGCACAGAAACTCTCTTTACGAAGACTTAAGACTTAAGACTCATGTTGTCGGTCTCTTTGTATTTCCTCTAGGAGCTTTCCAGTTTCGCAGTGAGCTTCAGAGCGTGCGCCTTTACCAGTCGACCGGCGGCCTTCACATCTTTGTCATGGCCTCTGAAGCCATTTACTTCCTCTTCATCTTCTATTACATGTTTATCCAGGTATGGACTCATATAACTAGAGTTTACTAACATCGATAGTAATAATAAACGCTTCTCACATAAACTCCTCTCCTCCTGACAGGGAAAGCTGATGAAGCAGCAGAGATGGACTTATCTCAAGAGTAAGTTGAACCTGCTGGAGCTGGCCATCATCATCCTCAGCTGGAGCGCGCTGTCCGTCTTCATCAAGAGGACTTTACTGGGAAACCGGGACATGGACTACTACCAGAACAACAAAGACCAGTAAGCAATATATTTAACACAATCCATGCAAGTAAATACTCAAGGTCTCTTAACATTGGTATGAACAATAAGTATTGCTTATTTAATGTGCATTTCCATTTTTGTATGTCTATCATGTAGTTAACAGCACACCCCCTCTGTAATACAGTAGTAATACGGGTACAGTCTTACTGTTTCACAATCATTTTGCTTTCTTTATTCTGTTCAGATAAATACTGGGAATCACTGACATAAAACCTGAACATTTTGTAGGCATAAAACATATGCATTGAAATATTTGAGGAGCTTGCAAACAGTTTTTAGAGTATATGCTATGCAGGTGGTAGCTGTGAATGTTAGATACTGTACCTTGAGCAAGTGCCACTCTCTGTGCTCTGTGTGAATGATGGCTTGCAGAAGTAAAGCGCTTTGAGGGGTCATAAAGACTGCATAAAGCTTTATATAAATACAGTCCATTTACCGTTAAGCTAGTGAAAGCTCAGCTCATTTTACAATTTGTAGCTGTCTACATTTTAGTTTTTTTATAATCTGACAAATGCTCAGTGATAATACCCATTTGAACCTTTAGAATTACAATTCCTATCACTAAATATTAGTGCATTAGTTTGTCAGCTATTATTTCCTCAATCCATATTAAATGCAATACAATGCTCTGTTCTCCCACACTGTCTCCAGATATGCCAGTTTCCATGAGACAGCCAAGGCGGATGCGGTGCTGGGGTATCTGATTGCCTTCCTGGTACTGCTGGCTACAGTCAAACTGTGGCACCTGCTGAGACTGAACCCAAAGCTGCACATGATCACAGCCACCCTGCAGCGAGCCTGGACTGATATCTCAGGCTTTCTGGTGGTCATGACGATCATGTTCATGGCCTACTCTATTGCTGTGAGCTGTTTCCCGCACTATAACATTAACATATCAACATGCAGCTGGAGCCACTGCATTTCTTTCTGTTTTATCAGTGAAATAGAACTTTTCATTCACACAGATTTATTTTTTTCAGTCTAACCTGATGTATGGCTGGAAGCTTTACTCCTATCGAACTCTGATGGATTCTGCGCAGACCATGGTCAGCCTGCAGCTTGGCATTTTTAACTATGAAGAGGTCAGTATGAGACTATAATAATTGTAGCACAGCAGATTTGGACAGCCGAACCTTCTTCAGTGTATGTCTTCCTTCTGATCCTGCAGGTTCTGGATTATAATCCAGTGCTTGGAGCTTTCCTCATCGGCTCCTGCATTGTGTTCATGACCTTTGTGGTGCTGAACCTGTTCATCTCTGTAATTCTGGTGGCATTCACTCAAGAGCAGATCCATCACAAGGTAACTGACTGAGTCTGACGTATTGTCGTATTGCACACATAGTCTCAAATAATCTATCCATTACAAATTACTTGATACTGATTGAGTTATGCATATTACTCAATGTTCTTCCAGCCATCCGAAGAGGAGGAGATTGTGGACCTGATGTTGATGAAACTCTTCAGTTTGTTTGGACTGAAATCTAAGAAGCCAGGTGGCGACGGCCTCTCTGAGAGGCCAGTAGTTTCATCTGCTCCACAAAATGGACTCTCCACGATTTCTTCTGGGAATATGTGTGATGGTTGACATGCTTGTAGATAATGCTTTGCTTCAGTTTTTGCATTCACTGCTTTATATTTACCAATGCAAGTTTACAAATTATAAGTTATTCTCTCTACTGCTGCAGATCTATCACTCTGGTAAAAGTAGGAACTGAAGACGATCCTCTTGTAATGCACTGAGGCACTGTATTTAGCCTATAGAATATGTTGTTAAGCTAATGCATTTTTGGTTTTGTGACAAATTCTTGTACAATATGATTTATTCCATAAAATATTCCATCATGGATATATATTGAAACATTATATTTAAATAAATCTAAGTAATCTATACCAGTGCTCAATCTCTATTATGAGTAAGAGATATATCTTACAACCTAGCGCTCAAAAACAAAAGGTGGCTGCTTAAAACAGAAATTATACAAACATTTAAGTTCAGGAATACAATGCCACTACCTTTAGGTGTTATCAGATTCAACAAGACACCATTTAGCTGTATGTATATAGTCAAAATAGATATTAATGTGTAATATGATCTAGAGATCTGTGAACCATAAACATTACTAAGCACTTGATATGTATTGGAAGGTGCGGTTTAATGACCTTTTACCATTTCAGTCTGTTGCTTCTGTACCTGTGGCGCTTAATTGCAATGGAACATACTGTATGTCCAATTATCATTATCATCCAATATCAACCATTGTTGTTGATCTTGTTTGCATGTGATTTTTGATGACCATACACTGTAAATAGAAAAAAGGTTGAATGACCATACAATTCCAGCTGCAACACTATGTGGTAAAGTGCTGGACACTGTGCATAGATTCAAAAAGTGTTGGACATACAACATCGCAGATCAATAATTCAGAAAAATGATATATTCAAATATACATACATTTGATAATATGTGTGGTTGTTGCACAGAACATATACATCCTGCAAATAAAATAAACCGTTATACAAGTAAGTAAGATGTGAAGTAGAGAAATAAGTTAATGCAGGTGAAGTTAAAATAAAGGAAATAACATGATATATAATTAAAAAGGAAGCAAAGTAAAGAGGTAATCTCATATGGGGTAGATAGAATGCCAATCTTATGACTCTTACATCTAAACAGTGGTGGAAGAAGTACACAGATGTTTTACTTGAGTAAAATGAGCAATACAACATTTTAAAAGTCTTGCATTCAAAATCTTACTTAAGTAAAAGTACAAAAGTATCGGCATCAAAATATACTTAAAATACAAAAATTAAAAGTACTCCCTAGTACTCCCTATGCCCATTTCAGAACTGAAACTGTATATTGACTTAGTGGGTTACCATTCCGATTATTCATGTATTTTTATCACAACTGGTAAATATATAGCTAATTTGAATAACTTTATATATTGCTGCTGGATATCTTAACCTATGAATATATGCTAACGTTTATTTAATAATGTATTTAGATTGTTTTGTTTTAGCTAATCATCTAAACCTAAAAAGTAACTATTAACAAGTAAAATAAATGTAATGAAGTAAAAAGTACAATATTGATTTCTAAAATGTAGTACAGTAGAAGTATAAAGTATCATAAACTGAGCATACTCAGGTAAAGTACAAGTAATTAAAAATTGTACTTAAGTACAGTACTTGAGTAAATGTACTTTGTTACTATCCATCACTGCATTTAAAACAGGTAACATAGGGAAATGCATCTAAACATATTCAAATAATAAAAAATATATTTATTTTAAGAAATAAAATGCTGATTAAATAAGTAATGAGGATTATTAAAATGCATGATGCTTCATCATAGTTATTTTGCACCTATACATAATCCCGACGTGGTTTTTACGTATTGCGTCAGATGTGTGGGTGTAGCTCCCTGTCTGCTGACAACAACACGCGTCGTGGGCGGACTCACGAGCGAAGTGACAGCAGAGACGGTCTACCAGCCACAGCGACAGGATCAATTTAGTCACTACAGTTTTCTGAACACAAAGTTGAAGGTTTTTCTGGCAGTCAGAGAGACAACAATATCGCCCAGCGACGCTATCTGACTTGTGGGTGTCCGGTTTCCTCAGTCTGAGGGATTGCAATGCCCTCTGACTTTATCTCCCTTTTCAGCGGGGACCTCGACCTGAATTCTCCCAGATCCTTGTATTCAAAAGGTAAGAACAGCTTTTATATTACTCTCTTCTGGGTTTTAGCTCTAGTTTAAGTGCCCACTTTATTTTATGTGTGTGAATGTGTGTGTAACTACACTGGTGGTGTTCATGGGGGGGGGGCGTTCAACCCCCTCAGTCATTCATCTATAAACTGCCTCCTGCCACATGCCTGCTGATAAAAGTTGTTTTAACTTTTTGAGCGCCTACAAAAATGCATAATGCGTCCTTCAGCTTGTACTCTTGGAGGTTTCTTGGGACATGGTGAAGGTGTCTTTTTAAAAAAAAAAAATGTTTTTATATATATATATATAAACTGGAGCCCTCAGCAGCTGCATGCACACCGGTCAGACCAGTTTACTTTTTTTCCGCCAGCTAAAAAGCACTCTATTTTCTGTGGGTTATGTGAATAGGCCATCGGTGCGATACATTCTTCAGTGCATGCTAAATTAGCCAAGAAAGCTGAGTTCTCCTGCTCGTCACATCGTGCCAAACATACCAATATCCCAGGATGCATCACGTGTACGATTTTGACACTCAGGAGACAGGCCGTATTTTATCTGACTTTTACCAGTAGCCTAGTATTTTAAGACCATAGTAATAAAGGACCTGAGTATTTCTTCGACCAATGTTGATACATACTCTACTACAGAGCAACTTAAAATTGTTATTAATTAAAAACAGTTATGACACCATATTGCACACTACCAAGAGTTTTGTAAATTATTCAGATAATGCCTAATAACCTTTTACAATACAAAAAGAGAATAGCCTATTTGTATTCTCCTTTCATTAAACGAAGTTGTTGTGTTTTTTCTGACTGTATTTACCTCAAAATGTATACCCTCCCTATATTCACAGATGATGCCTTACCATCAGGGGTTTCATTTGAAAGATAATTCAGATTTTGCCCAATAACCTTGTTGAATATAGATAATTTCCTCTCTCTTAAGATAAGATATGACAAGTCACTGACATTTGTTAATGCTTTTTTATTTGACATTTAGCAGAATAAAGTCAAGAGGCAGGTTGTATTTGCTGTCTTTCATCTTGGTTCTGCCACAAATGAACAGCCTGCAGGCCAGCTACCTTTCTTCTATTTTGACTTGTTGTCCAATGCTTTCTTCATGATGGACTTGCCTTCCTCCCGGCTGGTTTGCAAAGAAGTTTACCTCTGAGCAATGTCCTCTTTTTTCAGCATCTGCTTAAGTGAGGACTTCTCCTCCTCTGCTCTTTCCAGTACAGCCATCGTCTCTGCGTTCAGCTTCTGCAGCTCAATCAGTGTGAGGTTGGAGGCTTTGATTTTCTGAAGTTCCTCCTCCACTATCACCTCATGCCTTTCTTTAAGCGCCTCACTCGTGCAGAGTTTGGCTTTGAGCTCCTCATGTTCACAGCGGAGAGCCTCTTGTACCTCACTGTGTTTACCAGCCTGCTCCTCCAGGAGTTTTCTGGGTAGTAGCTTCTGCCTTCTTCTCATTGCCTGGCCTTATAACTTCCAGGTCTGTCTGGGAGGCCGTTGTGCTTTGAGGTCGGAGCCTCTTCACACCAATCTGCATCACAGTTGCTGTTTGGCTGCTGCATCTTTTTTTATTTTCTTTCCTTTACATTATAACAATGGGAAAAGTACAAGACAAAAATGTCTCCGAAGCTTTTTTATACATCTATTTAGTTAGATGAAGAAATAGTTTTTTGCATGCAGTATCTAGTATCCAGTATCTACATTAACCAAATCAGCGTAGCAGCTGGAGTTTTGAAGTTACTATCTTATGTCCTTTTCTTTTCGTTAAATAAAATGTACTACTGGCCTTGTGACTGAGCTGATTATGTATTGATTTATTCAGTTTTACTTGTGACTCATCAGAAAGTTGTACTGTGTAGACCCTTATCATTTATTGTGCACCACATAATTCAGCTGAAATTATTTTTTTGTTTTGTTATCTAGACCAATAGTTTAGCCATCATTGTTTGATTAATAATCACACTATTGTGTATTTGTGTCAGCACAGTCGACTCGGCTGTGTGTAAGAAGTAAAGTGAGTTGTACATCTTGCCGACAAAGCCAACTCTCACCTTTTATTCTTTGAGATTTGGTTGGAAAAAAATAACCCCTTCATCCATTTAATTCTTAAAATCATTATTACTGTCACACCCGGATACAAAAGGAAGAATTCTCGATTCAAACATAATATAATTTGATTTTTTTGTCAGTTTTCAGAAGCTCCATTGGACAGCCCAACATGATGAGGAATACATATTTTTAGCAATCGGGTAGTTTAGGGAATTCCGAGGAAAAACTGTAACAATGGCACTCAGGACAGGAATGCTGGTCACACTACCTTTTGTGGTGGGTAAAGGACATCGGGTTAATGAACATTTTAAAATGTCTTCCTACCAGTTTCACATCAAAGGTAAAGATTGTTATGGCTTTCCCATAAATTCTATCAATCCTGGTTAACAATTGTAAGACTCTCGACATAGTTTTGTTTTTTCAAAGTCCGGTCAATCATTAACCCCCTGGCTGCCCTGTGTGTAAACCTGGGCTTAAATAGCACTCTATTAATATTGACTCTGCTGTGTTAAGCAAACTTAGCGGCATGCGCTTAAAAATACTTGATTGCTTTGAAAGCTTGTTGATATCTGATGATGAAAGAAAAGATACTGTAGAGGGAAAACTCTGAAAATAAAGAATCGTGTATTCAGAGTTTATTAATCTGCTGTGGCATTGGGTTATAGTCTGCTTTAAACAAACCTACATATGGACTCTGAACTCAAATCTGTTCTTACAACAAAAAAGTATACATATACTCTCTCTCAGTGACGTTACTTACATTGATAACTGACACATTTAACTGTATTATTTTTACATTACAGTGTCTTCACCTTTTTAAAATCAACCCCAACATCTTTCTGATACTTCAGATTATAACCTTTTCTCAGTTATTCTGTGTTATCAGCTGTCACAGAGGAAGCGACCTCATGACCAGGCTTTACATTTACGTTAATTTGCATAATGCACACTTGCCAGCCAGCGAATCAGTTAATAGACACCAATATGAGTCCCATAAGAATGGATCAAATAAGGTCAGATACTATCTGTAGGAGAATCTACTGTTAATCTTCATACTGGCAATAAAGCCTACCTTAAAACTCAGAGGATCGTTAATATTAACTCCTTGGTTGTGGCCCCTCAGGCTCCTCGGGGTGTCCGAATGTTGCAAAGTGTGTGTGCTGTACATTGTTTCAACTGGTGCTCAGGTGCTAAGCCCAGGCGAATAGTCAAATGTGTATTATGGCGCAATAACTTTTTCGTTAACCTGTTTCCTTTTTGGTTCATTCCCTCATTCGTTCCCTGCTCCTGTAGCATTTTTTTTCATCAAGTTTTGAGATGGAGTCTCCAGTCCAGTATGGTAATGTTATCAACATTTGAACAAAGCCTCATACAGCTGAATTATTGACGCATCTAAAGAAGGACAACATTTTAGTGTGAATATGATACGGATCCTTTCGTGCACTCCACACATAAGGATTTATTATTGTATTTAAGTCTTCTTTGTATAATCCTGCAGTATGTTGTTTGTGAATTTGTGACTGCATATCAGTTACAATTAAAAAAAACATGTTATTATTTATTGAGTTGAAGGTAAAACATAAATGGTGATACTCAATGTGTATATCTAGTATTCAGGTGTGGGGTAAGGTGCTGATAGATTGAATGTGCGTGTGTTTATGATGCAAATAACTCACAACTTACTTAACTTCTTCTAAATCTCTTTGATGAATCATTAACACTCGACAAACATCAGAAAAAAGACTAATCAGGCTCTGGTCATAATATCACCTCCTCTGGTATTTACTGCACACTTGTGACTTTGTTTTGGCTGCGGCAAATCAATACACGAGTAGTTTTACCTGTTGAAGCTGTACCACTGAAGTGTCAATTGTATGTTAATTGGGACATTTACTCAAAAGCATTGCATTATTTACCAAATTCTTACATCTTTAGTTCTTTCATTTGTTAATAAAATGTCATATGTAGATACGCTCCAACAAATGTTGCCGTGGTAAAAGTATAACATAAACATATTCCCCCAAATCATTCATTATAATAAAAATATCAACATAGTGTAAAATAAATTGTTAAATATTCTGGGAAAACACCACACATTTTAGAGTTTATTTCAAAGCCAAAAAGCTGTGGCTTGTTATATTTGCTGATATCTTGATACTCGTACTGCTATTTTTGTGCTATTATTAATACATTTTTCTTCTAAATGTATTGACGTTTTTTGCTTTACCAGAAGAGACTTATCATCCTTGGACAACATGAGTGGGACAGTGTTTTCCGTACACTATCACCTATATTCTACACTTTCATTGATTTTATTATCTGCAATGAAGTTATCAGCAAACCCATAAAACCTCTTAAATACTACTAGTGCCAAACAAACTATTTTCCTGAGATGTGCAGATAAACTTTTCCTGCTTGGCCTGTTTTAGGTTAGCAGGTCAACTGTGCTCTTGAAATATAAGCAGATCTTTGCTTTCCCTGAAGCAGCCAGAAACACATATCAGCTGTTCAGAGGTATCACTTAGAACAACTACAAAGTGAAACAAGTTTCCACGGTCTCTGTTCTCATGTTGCTGTTTTAGGAATAACTTATAGTTCAGTTTAGGATTTCTGATCATTAACCTGCAGATGATGTTGTTGTACAGGCCAAATTAAATGGAAAATATGATTTTTACAAGATGTATCTGGTTATTCTGAGTGGCCTGTCAGTTGAAAGGGGGAGTGCAAGAGACCATGATAGAGGATTTCTTACACTCTCATGTGAAAAGCCCAAAACACCTGCGAATTCTAACATCCAGCCCTTGTGTTTCACTCCAGAGCAAGATTATTCTGAACTGAGACATTAATTATTGAAGGTGGTGAGTCTTGGCCGGCAGGAGTCTTTCCATTGGCAGATGAAGAGCAGCAGTTAGTGGGTCAGCAGCTTGTAAATGGACTA